AGCGGCGCACGGCTGCTTCAGTGTCCGAGGTGGCTGACTTCGGAATCCTATCACCAAGAAAAGCCACTGGCTCCGAACTGGTCTGGCCGTTGGTGGCCGCGATCCTGGCGAGGTCCTGGTCCCCTGGGCCCCGTCCCACGCGGATGTGGATGGTCCCGCCCCCAGCGACTAGGAGAGAGTCGTAGCAGCGGGCAGCCAGCTGCGCAGCCGAAGAGGTCGCCAGCGAGGCCCCCGCTCGCTCCCGGCCCCAGTTGTGCTGCCCGTGGGTCTGCCGCGGACCCCTGGGGACACCACAGCAGCGCTGGTTCGACGCGGGGCTCGACGAGCCTTGGCCGACCCCGGGAAAGATAGGAGGACCCTCGGGGGCCCCCGAGCGTGCCCGTCGAGGCTCTGACAGCTCCGGTGCGCACAAGCTTGGGGCCGTGGGCAACTCTTGCAGGTGTGTCAGGTGCGACCATTCGACTGCTACGCAAGACCTGCCCAAGGCCCTCAAGCCAGATTGCGGTTCCTGTCCGAGGCCTCGTCGCCACTGGAGGCACCGTGCTGCACAGCTTCCATCGGCTCGCGAGTTGGGATAAGCATGGCTGCTAATGGTGTTTGCGCTGCTGTCGCGCTGCGGTGGTTGACGGCCATCAGTTGGCTTCCAAGTGCGCCCAGGCCAGTAAGAAAGGCCCCGAGAATTTGGCCCGCACTAGGAAGGGCTTGTCTCCTAGATGTGCAGTGCCTCTCACACTCGAGGATCGTGGCCGCCTCAAGTCCTTAGGCGTCGACGGTCGCCGAGGTCGTTGTCTTCACGAGGGATCGTGGCCTCGTCTGCGTGGATCGCTTTTTACGTGTCCTGGGGCACCCATAACTTCCGAGAGCGTGATTGGGGAACGGTAAAACACAATTTCGGGCCGAGGGGGGCTCGGGCGCGTTCTCAGAAACTTGCAGTCTTACCCGTGTGATCGATCAGTTCTGTGTGGCTGGGAAGTCACGGTTCTGAAAGTGCTGAGTTCACCATGGTATCGCAACATTGCGATTTGCCTTATTGCGCTAGTGAAGAGTATTCAAACTGCACGGCCTCTGAAAGCCAGCCCGTGCAGCCTCATGGCCCCTCCACAAGGGGAGGGCTGGTATCCTTTTTTTTTTTTTTTTTTTTTTTTTTTTTTTTTTTCTCTCTCTCTCTCTTTTTTATCTCTCTCTCTCTATCTCTCTCTATCTCTCTCGTTTGTCCCTCTCCTCTCTCTATCTCTTTCACCCCTCTTTCTCTATGTCATCTCGCCGTCTCCCCCCTCCATTTCTCGGTCTCTCCTCCCTCCGTATCCCCCTTTGCCCTTTCTCTCGTTACGTCTCTTCCCGTCTCAACCTCTCCTTCCTCGCTTGTCCCTCGTGTCTCCAGCCCCGGTTGCCCGTTGCGGGTCCCGGCGGTAGCAGCGCTTGCTATCTCCCGGGCAGGCAGCTGGTGGCTCAGCTTGTGGGCTTGTTCGAGACGATCGACTTCGGCGGCAACAACTCCATGTCGTGGGAGGCATCCTCTCAGTTCGGCCAGCGCTGCTCGGTTGAGAAAGCTGCACCAGACTTGTTGCATGGCATTTGCAGTGCCCCTACCACCTGCCTTCGCCTCCTTCACTGTCCTCCCTATGATCTGTCCGCTCGCTGGATCTGGTGATGAGTATTTTCTGGGCCCCCCCACATCGTAGGATCAGTCTTCTTGACCCCGTGTCGAAGTAAGTCTGGTGGTGCGACTGAACCAGAAGATATACTCATGCGGAAAAGGAGGAGCGACATCACGGGATGATGCAGCCAGCGCTCAGTGGGCAGCTCCACTACCCCGCCACTTATGTATATTTCCGCTTTGCACTTGTTAATGCACCTCTCCCTGTCTCTTAGCTTGCTTCATCGGGTTGAGTTGCCGTGGGTGCAGGAACAAGAACCTCTCCCTGCCCCTTGTCCGTCTGTGAGTCCTGCTTTCACCTCCGCAGATCCACCCTCTCGCTGCCAACAGACTCTTCGCGCGAGGGACCCGGCCGCGGAGTGCCGCTCAGCGGCCAGCGCGTCCTCGCCCGCGAGCGAGCGTGCCGCTCCTGCGATCACTTCTGCGATCGAGTGCGAACCCTCTCCCTACGGGTCCGGTCGACGCTGGGGTATCGGACACCCCCGCTGAGGTCCATTTGGTTGCAGACGCCCTTCGAGTTTTGCACCCCAGCTGTTTCTCACAAGTCTGATCTGCAGGGTTCGAGTTCGCATGTCGTTGCCTACCACACGACGCGAACGCGCCAGGTGGTAAACCCAGTAGTCGTGGTCGTTGTCGTCTTCGTCGTCATCTTCGTCGTCGTCGTCCTCGTTTTGTCTTCGTCGCCGTCCTCGTCGTCGTCGTCGTCGTCGTCGTCGTCGTCGTCGTCGAGCGTGCGAGTGCTGCGAGAGTCGACCGCGAGAGCCCGACCTGGGCGGGCGCACGCCAAGAGCCCCGTGCGCGGAGGACTTCACCAACTTCCTGGTCGACCAGGGCATGATCGAGGACCGCCGCCTGGCAGCCTCCTCCTCCTCCTCCTCCTGCTCCCCCTCCACCTCCTTCTCCTCCTCCTCCTCCTCCACAATTACTCAATATGAATACTACTCTCCCTCTTCCCCCGATGGCGGCCTGAAAGTATTAGACCCCCCCCGCGTACTGTATTTTTACACACAGGATTCCCGGAAGTTGGGTTTTCGCATGCGTTTTTTTTCAAAATGCTGCTCTCGCTGAGGCGCCGGCCTCATTTCTGCTCCTGACTCGTTCCGAATCGTGCTCCCGCTGCAGCGTGGGCCTCATTTTCAGATCGGTGTTTGGCCTCCGTCGTTCAGGATGGCGTTCTCGCCCCAGCGCGGGCCTCTTTCTCGCGCGCCCATCCGCCCGCCACCACCGCGCCGCACCACCACCACCACCACCACCACCACCACCACCACCACCACCACCACCACCACCACCACCACCACCACCACCACCAGCAGCAGCAGCAGCAGCACCAGCACCACCACCACCACCACCACCACCACCACCACCACCACCACCACCACCACCACCACCACCACCACCACCACCACCACCACCACCACCACCACCACCACCACCACCACCACCACCACCACCACCACCACCACCACCCACCACCACCACCACCACCACCACCACCACCACCACCACCACCCCACCACCACACCACCACACCACCACCACCACCCCACCACCCCACCACCCACCACCCACCACCACACCACACCACCACCACCACCACCACCACCACCACCCACCACCACCACACCACCCCACCACCACCCACCACCACCACCACCACACCACCACCACCACCACCACGACCACCACCACCCACCACCACCACCACCACCACCACCACCACACACACGCACGCACGCACGCACGCACGCACGCACGGCACGCACGCACTCGCGCTACGACACGCGTCCGCGGATAGAGAAAATCAGCGCCATGGTAAGGGATGGGAGGGAGGGGTAGGACGTCAGATATGACGCGAGCGCACCTAGCTTGTCCTCCTCCCCCTCCCCCTCCTCCTCCTCCTCCTCCTCCTCCTCCTCCTCCTCCTCTTCCTCCTCCTCTCTCTCCGGTGGCCCTCTGCTCCTGGCCATCGCCGATCGGCGACGAGCGAGGGGGGGAAAACGAGAGCGGGAAGACCTGCTCAGAGGGCGGCGGGACTTCTCAGAAGCCCTTGCGCCTTCTGGGAAGTGTTTTCTGTCTTCTGGGAGGGCTTAGAGAACTTCGCAGAAGGCCGGGGGACTTCCGAGCCTTCTGAGAAGGCCTTCACCTTCTCATTTCCCCCCCTCGCTCGCCGCCGAGCCGAGGCTGTAGGCTTTGGGCAGCGGAGCTCGTAGCAGCCGCCTCTGGCAGCCGCGCCTGCCCGCTCTTCCTCCTCGACCTCGTCCTCCTGCCTCCTCGTTCCGGCCGTTTCTCACGATTCAAGTCGCAAGGCGAGTTGTGTCGCAGTGCCAGCTGATGTGTGATCTGTGGGAGGATTGTCGAAGGGTGCCGTTCTTTACTGTAGCAAGATGACTGTGCCCTCTCTTACGGAAGGAACTGCCCCATCCAGGGTTGGCCAGAGAGGCTGGCCGGGGCAGTTCTCTGGGGGGTGCGCAGAGGGGGCTTGTCCCAAAGTGGGGTCAGAGAGCGAACCCAGCTGGATGCTCACATTGTCTTCTGGGGATCGTCCCGAGCGAGTCTCCGTTGACCCCACCTCCGCCCCTGCCCCACCTCTACGCCCCCGCTCCCCCTCCGATCCTCGGATAGGCAGGTCGTTCCGCAGCTTCTTGGTCGCGGCGGTGGCGAACGCGCACCGCGCACCGCGACCGCAGCCTGAGCGGGGGCGCGGCCAGGCGAACTCTGCACGAGCAGGCGGGAGGCAGCTGAGGACTGCCGCGCAGGAGGAGGAGGAGGAGGAGGAGGAGGAGGAGGAGGAGGAGGAGGAGGAGGGGGAGGAGGAGGGGGAGGAGGAGGGAGGAGGGCGCACTCAGCCCAGGAGGGGCTTCGTGAGCGGCGTGCCCTCTCCGCAGCGCGCGGCACGCGAGAGAAGCCGCGCGCGCGGACGCCAGCGACGCTCTGGACTCAGGAGAGGGAAACACACACACAGGCTTAAGCAATCGTCGATGCCCAGGAAAATATGGGAAACTATGGGAAGTGGGGGGGAAGACAGAAACCCAGAACATATGGGAAAATATGGGGAATATTTATTTGTGTGTGTTTTTATTTGTGTGTCCTGGGGCCCCTTCATGGACACTCCGCGCCCTCGAGCTCGCCGCGGGCGCCTGGCCCGGCGCTTCGCCGCTCGGGCGCACCAGGCGGCTACAGTCTCGGGGGCGGAGAAGAGGGGGGTGATGACTAGGGGGGGGTGGATATCATGGCGGGGGTCATGATATTTCCCCAGATTTCATGGCGCCTCTTCTTATTTCATTACGTCCCTGGGCCCCCCGCTGGGCCGCGCACGGGCCGCCGGTCATGATTTGCACCCCCTCCCTCTTGGACACCCCCCTGTTGGCCGCTCCCGACAATCGGTGCGGTTACGCCGGGGTGCGGTTTGCGAGTTGCTTTGTGGCGGCCCTTCGGGGCCTTTGTGAGAGACAGTGTCATAGCTGTCGCCGATTCGAGCGACACTGTCATCCTCGATGTGTGCTCCACTGTGCTAGAAGGAGCGTCGGTGTCATGTGATTCGGTCGCATTGAGTGACAGTGTCATCCGTTTCCCGGGGGCGGGAGGAGCAAATATGATGGGAGGCAAACCGCACCCTTCGCAAACCGCACCCATTGTAATCGCCGATCCTCCTCCTGGCGGCACCAGGCAGTCGGGCGCTTCCGCGCCACCAGGGCGAGCTCGTCGAGAGCGCCATATGGAATGGTCTCCGGTGGTCCAGTGGGCTCCCTCTCCTCCTTCTGTTCCTCCTCCTCCTCCTCTTCCTCCGCCTCCCCTTCTTTTTCCAGCAGCTGCTGCTGTTTCACCTTTTTCTTTGTACATCACTCTTTCCTGTCGCACCCCCAGACGTGTCGGCCGGGCGGGCCGGGCGTTTCGCCTGAGACTTCTTCACCATTTATTTATGATCGTGAAGTCAGAGATTGGCATCAGTTGCAAGGATGGGGCGGGTGGTGGTGGTGGTTTTCAACATGTGGCTCTCGACCTACAGTGGAGACCCATGCCAAGAAACACCCTGCGTGCCTCCAGGGTGCCCTGGATTTCTTGGGTTTCGGTAGTTTTGCGATTGCCACACCAAAGATCAATGGACGTCCTGGGGTCTAAGGGTTGTGTGTCTCTTGGAAGGTTTCTTGTGAACGGGCCCCTATTGTAGCGCCGTGCACATTCGCTTCAAATGGTGTGCAGCAATTTCTTGGATGGAGGGATGGAGAAGTTCAAAACGTGGCTCTCGCCTTAGCTCCGCGTGCATTTGTTTTAAACGTGTGCAGCATTCTCTAGGATGGAAGGGTGCCTGTTTTCAAAAAGTGGCTCTCGCCCTAGCGCCGCGCGCATTCGTCTCAAAAGCTTGCGGCAGTTTCAAGTACGGAGGTGTGGGGGGGTCATTTTCAGAATGTGGCTCTCGATTTAGCGCTGCGCGTGTTCGTTTTAACAGTGTGTGGCCGTTTCAAAGATGGAGGGCGGCTCCTTTTCAAAATGTGGCTCTCGCCGCAGCGCCGCGCACATTCGTTTCAGCATGTTGCAGCAGTCTCAATGATAGAGGGTGGTTTCTTTTCAAATTTTGGGATCTTGCCGTAGCGACGCGCGCGTTCGTCGAAAAGCTTGCGACAGTTAGAGGAATTGTGGGGTTTCCTTTCCAACATCGGGCTCGTGCTTGCGACTTTAATTGTAGAGACCAGGACCCTGAGCATATGGAACAGCTGCAGGAATAAAGGGCGGCTCACTTCTGTTATATTGGACGTTTTCTCAAACTTTCTCTAATTTTAAAGACCCGAGACATGAATAGAGATGGAAGTGGGCTCCTTTTCAAGATGGAGCTTTCGCTTGAGACTCTCTCAACGCTCATGGCCAGAAGCTCACACTCGTGCAGGATTTACACATCCTGGAGCGGTCCTTTTTCTCAATGCAGGGATTTCGCTTGACGCCGCATTGAACCGTATGATCATGCCTTCGCGCTGTCCTTCTAGCCCGCGGCAAGGATACAAGGCCAGAGGCCTGATGTGCCAGGCATCTGGCGCACCATATCCGTTACAGCCTTCAGTCTGCATTGGTTGTGCGCATAGGCTGATGTCTGCCTTTACGGACCGTGCGTTCGGTTTCGCCCCGCCGGCGAGGACGACAGGACTTTGTGCCGTTGGTGTTTTGGCGGGCAGCCCCCTTGAGAGGCAGCGGATCTTCCTCTCGTTCAATGCGTCGTGTTTTTTTGTTCTTTTTGTTTTTTGCCAAAGCAATCCTCGCGGCCATGCTTGGTTAATCTATCCTCTGGTGCGATGGGGTCTGATCAGAACGAGAACTGCCTGATTAATCTATATCCTCTGGTGTGATGTGCTCCTTCTTCTTCTGTTGTTGTTGTTGTTCTTGTTGTTGTTGTTGATGTTGTTGCTGTCGTTGTTGTTGTTCTTCTTCTTCTTCTCTTTCTTGTTGTTGTTGTTGCTGTTGTTGTTGTTGTTGTTGTTGTTGTTGTTGTTGTTGTTGTTGTCGTTTCAACATGTTGCAGCAGTCTCAATGATAGAGGGTGGTTTCTTTTCAAATTTTGGGATCTTGCCGTAGCGACGCGCGCGTTCGTCGAAAAGCTTGCAACAGTTAGAGGAATTGTGGGGTTTCCTTTCCAACATCGGGCTCGTGCTTGCAACTTTAATTGTAGAGACCAGGACCCTGAGCATATGGAACAGCTGCAGGAATAAAGGGCGACTCACTTCTGTTATATTGGACGTTTTCTTAAACTTTCTCTAATTTTAAAGACCCGAGACTTGAACACATGGTATAGCTGCAGAGATGGAAGTGGGCTCCTCTTCAAGATGGAGCTTTCGCTTGAGACTCTCTCAACGCTC